TTAGCTTTCTGTTGCTATAACAAACATCTGAGGCAGTCAACTTAGAGAAAAAGCTTATTTTAGCTTCTGTCTCTATTTAGTTGGCCCTGTGACAGAGCAGCATATCATGGTGAGAGCACATGGTGGAGTTAAATCATTCAAAACCAAGTGAAAAAGAGAAAGGAACTGGGGCCCCAAAATCTCCTTTGAGGGCACATTCCTAATGACCCATAGATCTCCCAATAGGTCTCACCACTTAAATGTCTCATCACTTCCCAATAACACCACATTGGGCACCACTCCTTACCTTAGGACCCTTTGGAGGACTCCTAAGATCCAAATGATGGCATTACTTAAAACCTTTGAATGGCCTCCTACAGTGACTGAGCTTCTACGACCTGCCTTGGAACTGATCTTGAGATATTTCTCGGATCTCATCTGGTTCCCTCCATATTTGTTTGCTATGCTTTGACCATAGGGCTTCCTCCCACACCTCAGCAACTTGCCAAGCTTCCTCCTGACGCAGGGTCTCCTTTGCTCCTGTGGGTACCACTTGGGGCCATTTAACGTTCACTCAGAGTTACCATCCCTGATGATGCTACACAAAGCACGTCTCTTTTTCCTTCAGGCTACTATAGTGACCTATTTTATTCTCTTCATAGCACTCATCAGTACTTGCAATGATCTCTTTCTATATTTTTTTCTCTGTTTATCATTGGTCTTCTGCTCTTTGGTGGTGGGACCCTCCCTTTGCCTGTTCACTGCTGCATCTCTACTACTTGACACAAATAAGTGACCACCCAGTATGTGCTGGCCACCCAACTAACTTGGAATTGTGCAAAAGAAAATGGAAATCGGAATCATCCCAGGGAACTTCACATAGGACCACCAATTTCCTTTTACTTTTCAGCATTGATAATTAAAGCTATTCCCAAAATACATTCAGATTTAATTAACAACGAATCTCTTTAGAATGAAAGGCACATTCTTCAATACCCAAAGACAGGAAAAATAGTAAAAACTGACATAACAGAAATCCCCCTTGCTTTCAAGAAGAGAATGGCAGACACTAAAATAATGTTTTTTTTCTTTTTTGTTACTTAGATCATTGAAACTCTCCCAGAAACAAACTTCAAGGTACTTATTTTTTTGTACCGGCTGTTGAAAGGAGGGTGAAGGAGGGTGAAAAATGCAAGCATTTTTCGTTTGTGTGCTATCTCTTCCTGTTGTACCAAAGGTCACTGATTCTACATTCTGTTGTTAGATCCCATGCTGGCATATTTCTCAAAGGATCCTGTTTTATGGATGGTACAATGCTGAGGATATATAGTGAATGATTATGCAAGCTCTGTATCTAGATTGGTGTTTATCATGAGGAACCATGTTAACTTGTTTTATGACTGCAGTTCTGAGAACCTGAAAAGCTATATATTTTTTTTTGTTTCGTTTTGTTTTGTTTTTGTCTTTTTGAGACAGAGTCTCACTATGAAGTTCAGGCTGGCCTTGAGCTCACTTTGTAGCCCAGGCTGGTCTCTAACTCACAGCAATCCTCCTGCCTCAGCCTCCCATGTGCTGGGATTACAGGTGTGCGCCACCACGCCTGGTGAAAAGCTATGTTTTAATGCTCATGTTTCTACGTGACTTCCTTATGCCACTTGAAAGCTCTGTACCAGGCACTAACAAGTGGTCTTCTGTAAATTGAAGCGATTTGTGCTATCACTCGGAAATGAAGCAGTGTATCACACCAGGAGGAAGAAATAGGGCTGGTATCAAGCCTCACTCTTTCTTCTTGGGTACAGCTTTGGGTGAGTCACCAAAACCCTCTCGAACTTGGTCTGATTAGGCTTTTTCGGGATGGAAATGAGTAATGGGATGAGTGAGGCGACATTGTCATGTGAACAAAGGAGAAAGAGCATAGGCCTCTGGAAAAGCAGGAAGTGAACGGTGGTTTTGCCTCCAGTGCAGCTCCAGCGAGGGCCTCTGCTTCTCTCATCTCGATGCCCACTTGCTTCCTTGTCTACTCAGTGCCATCCTTTACCTCACAAGTGCTCAAATTATGCAGCTCCAAGCGAAATTTTGTTGGAAAAATGGGTTCTCTGGTTAGGGGAAAGATGGTTTGAGCCCATGCCATCCTGTTGTGTAATTTCTGCTTGCTCATAGCTCTGGCCCCTCCTCACAGGGCCAGGACCCATCTCTGGCTGCATCAGGCGTGGCAGGGAAATGGAGCAGCAGGGTGGGAAGAGAGGGAGTGGCCCGGATTGTGGCAAACTGGAAACTACGCGTCCTGTCTAAGAGTTAGCCAACTGTGGTCCCACTGGCCTGCAGCGAGAGCCCTGCCAGGGCTTCTGGAGTTTCCAAGGCTGACTGAAAACCCTTATGTATATATTTTTTTGCATGAAGTTTTGTGCTTTTTGAATATTGGCAAGTCATTCAAAAGAAACGGGCTTCCAATGATATACATCTAACAGTGACTTAACTGGCCCATAGGCAGGCAGTCTGCAGCTTCTAGGGTCTTGAGAGTTCAGGTAAAATCATGACCTTTCCACTTTAGTCTACACATGAATCCCACCGTGTGTGTGTGTGTGTGTGTGTGTGTGTGTGTGTGTGTGTGAGATATCACATTCTTGAAATGGAATCTGATTTACCCAGTGAAGGGCCAGGGTGTATCATAAGGACAAATCTGTGGATTGGCTGTATTTAGTCCCAAAAGCGCTGCCTCAGGGATCCTCTTTCAGCAGGAAATCTGAGTGGGCCAACTTCAATTCAGAGGCTGCACATGGCAAGCTGTGTACTTACTATGTTTAATAGAGTCCTAGAATTTCCTCCTCCATAAATGAATGCTTAAGCAGAATGATTTATATTGGCTTCTCCTAACAAGATTGTTTCTTAATAATAAAAAAGGCAATATTCCACTGACATCGAGTTAGAATTCTGCTTCAAAATTGGGCAGTGACAAGTAGAATATATTGACATTGGAGAAGCTTTGATTTACAGCAAAATTATGGCTACTTCTCATTTTAAGAAAACTCTGTTTATAAAAGCAGCAAGCCTTAGGGTTAGAAAAGACTTTCACCACTTTAAGGCTTCCTCCTAGTCTTTGAATACTTTTGATGCCCCACCATACTGACATCCCTTAGATGCTGTGAATATGTCCTGTTATCAGAAAGGCACTTCTTCCCCAGGGAGCCTCTTCATCCTTTGACAGGCTAGCCCATTACTTTTTTTCTTGGTGTACAATAGCATACGCACCACAAGTAATTAGTATGGAGTAAATTTGCTAGATGAATGTATTCAAATATTCATTCACATGGTGTTTACTGGTGCATACTATATGCCCCACACTAGTCCAGGAGCTTGGCCAATGTCACAGGACAACAAGAATCTGTGCCTTGCAGAGCTGATGGTTGTAATGTATAAGAAGTAGGTGTTGAGAGAGAATAAATTTAGTAAAAAATAATTCATATAAGATGTTATGAGGTGGTTCATGCTATAGAACAAAGAAAAAGCAGAGCAGAATGACGTGGATTGGGAGAGAGGAATACATCACAACTGTACAAAGATCTGAAAGAGATTCAGAAATGTGGAATGGGTATTCTCAAATTAATCTTCCTGCAGCTGGCTAGAACTATCTAGATTTTGGCTTCCAGACCCCAGGGATAATGACAGCAATAGTAATTGCTTACTAACTTTTGAATTCCAACAGGAATTCTATATGTTTTCTTTATATGAATTCATTAAATCCATAACAATCCCAAGAGACAGCTGTTACTATTACCTCCAAGTTTGTATGAGTAATCCGAGTCACAGCAAAATTAAGTAACTTGGCTAATAATCCAAGGCTTCAGGTTTTGATTCCTCATAAGAGGCCACCCTATTCACTGCCCTCCCAAGCTTTTACCCCTCAGGCTCCTGGGCTGTTCAAAGTCTCTTGTCCTGTTGGATTCCTGGGATGAGATTTAAGGACCCCTCATCATCCTGGACTTTCTCTCGAGACTCCTTTAACGTTATCTAATAATCCCAGGGCAAGCTACCCCGACTCCCACCACCTTCCCGCAACCCTAACACATAGGTTCTGAAGGTCACAGCGACCAAAACCAGAATCAAATTTTGTTGAGTATTGACCAAAAAAAGAAATATATATCTTCTTTTCTTCAGCAAATGTCACTGTGGTTTCAAAGCCTAAGTGTGATATGAGCCGGGGCAGCATTTGAAAAGTATTTCCTGCTAAGCCATAGGGTGAAATTCTGCAAGCCACTGCGTCCTAACAGCTGCACCAAATTCTTAACACCTGCTAGGAAAAAAAAAAAAGGTTCTGAAAATAATTTTACATTGTTTTTAATTTCGGATTGGTTGATTTTCTGTGGTTTCAAATTCTGAGGGAACCTCCTAGAAGAATTAAGCCTTCAGCTGGAAAGAGAATTGAAAGTATTTTGCAACTGTAATGGAGAGACTTCTGTGGAATCATAGTGTATGAATGCACTTAAAACAACTTCTGGAATCGGCCTGAGAACTTTTCCTTGAGATAAAGTTGTAGGCTTTAGTCCGCTGTTCCGCGGGCTCTTGCTCCTGGTTAAGAGCTCCTCGGTCGGCTCGGTTTCTCCTCTGCAGAGCTCTCCGTGGTGAGGGAAGGGTGAGAGGCTGGTTTCATCTTGGGTGAGGGCAGCGCAGCGCTCATCTCCTTGACGGGCTTCACCCTCCCGGCTGGCTCTCGAAGTCCAAGACATTGGATTTCCCGAGATTGTTGACTGGGTGTGCGCGCAGGGGCCCCCTCCGCCCAGCCTTGTGAGGTGCAGCCGGAGAAGGAGTGGGAAGGGGTGAAGCAAGTGGGGTTGGGGGACGGCTGGAAAGAGACTAAAGCGATGCACACGGGACAGGAAAAGTGGGAGGAGGAGGTGCGGGAGGAGGAGGGGGCGGAGGCGGCCGTAAATTGAGAGAGGAGGGAAACGTGTCGCCAGCCGGGCTCTGGGAGCTCCGCGCGCCCAGCGATCGCGGACTCACGCCGGAGCAGCGGCCGGGTGAGGGCAGCGCGGGGTGAGGAGGGAGGGAGAGGAGGGAGAGCAGGGTTCGTCTTTCTCCAGGGAGAGAACTTTCCCCAGAACGCCGGAAACTTGTTCCTGGGCGCGCAGAGTCGGGACAGGCGGGCGTGCTCGGCTCGTGGTGACTCACGCCGGGGGATCCCGAGCGGGTGAGTGGGGAAGTCCTCGGAGGGCCCCCAGAAGTGCCGCAGGATCGGGAAGGAAACCGCCGGGCATAATCAGGCGGGGACACGGAGATAGAGGGACCGGGGAAAGCGACCTAGTTGAGGGCAACAGGTTGGGGACCCCGCGTGGTTCGGGATCCCGTGATCCGCTGCTTCAGGAGGGCGGAGGGGTCCAGACTCGCTGCCCAGGGTGTGAGTGGGGATGGGGCGGCGGCACAGGGCGGCGGCGGGTTAGCATGGCGAGGGAGCGCGGTGAGTGGGACCGGGGGTGGACTGGATGGTGCCCATCGCGGGACCCAGGCGGAGCCCGGAGATTTCAAACAGATAGAAGAAAAGAAAAGAAAGTTAGTTTGCTGGTTTGTCTCCTACGCCCTCGGCCTGATGGGGAAGACTGCAGAGCTGCCCGAGCTCGGGCTCTGAAACCGCCTCTTCCCGGCCGACCTCCTTGCTCCGGAGAGGGGCGTGGGAGCGGAGGGCGGGGAGGCAGCCACTTTGTCCCGCGCCCCTGGACGCGCGCTACGCAGGCTGGGCGAGCCGGGCGGGAAGGCCTGGGGCGCCCCATCCGCAGTGGCTGGGCGCTCGGAACCCCCCGCGGCCCCGCTTTTCTCTGCGCGGCTAGTGTGCGCTTGGCGAGCTGCTGCGCGCAGGGGGCGCTCTGGAGCCGCGTTCGGTGGCTGGGACCTGCCCTTCCCAGCTCTCCTGCCCCGTGTTTTTAAAAAGGGATTTCCAGTTGGGATCAAAACTGGCTGTGTAGTTGCGAACTGTGCTTCTGGACTAGACTCTGCGGTGCCTCCCTGGTCTGGTCGAGGGTAGGGGTTTCCCCCAGATCCACCCGTGCCCTGCCCTCGGTCACATGCCTCCGCCTCTTTCCCCACTGAGCCCAGCCGGGAGCCCGCGTTCTGTTTGTCAGCAATAAGGCAGTGAGTATTTATAGACGCCACTGCAATCCTGCGGAGTGCAAGGTTTCAATTACAGCTCACGCACGGCGGCTCAGCTGCACGTCTGCCCCGTAGACCCACAATGGCAAAGTTCCGGGCCAGAAGCTCCAGGCATCCCCGCTGGGCCTGACTTCTGGACTTGTTGCCCAAACCATACTTGCAAAATCAGATGGCCCATGCTTGGAACACAGCAAGCAGTCCAGTGACAGCCACGGCCCGCACAGCTTGCATGCTCGCACCTCTTGCAAGATACAGATGCACCTTGCAGGCTGCCCTATTTGACCTCCCTTTGGCGGTTTTGACCACCATAGGGGTGCTATCGTGACGTTTCGTTGTCGTACCAGCTGCAGTGTGTCACAGCGCTGAGCTCTAGCGAATTGCAGCAAAATGGTCAGGAGGGGAAGTGGAGCTTGCAGCTACTGATTTAGCTACAGTTTTGAATTTAGACCCCCTAAGGTTCCCAGTGCAAGGGAGGAAGCTTCCCGTTGGGGAACCCAGCCTGTCAGACTCCTGACTGCGGAAGGGCCCAGTGAGAGTGAATTCTGTAGAATGTAGCCTTGCAGATAAGACAAGCAACGCCTTCAATCTTCCCATCCCCAGCCACTGTCCTTTGAGTTTCACTGATGTTTCTAACCGCTGGAACCATGAATGTGTAAAGGAAGAACGGCACTAGAGAAAACGAAGTTAGACTAAGTACCTCTTACCTTAGCCTAGCTTGTCTCTCAAGGATAAGCCCCCACTTCAGTCAGGTGCGGAGAGCCATAGGTGTATATTTATTTCAGCAGGTGTGATTTCAGCAATGTTCTGTTGAACATTGTGAAGATGTTCCCGTTATACAAAAGAGGAGGGTGCAAGCACCTGTTGAGGTCTTACGTTGTCCAATTTTGAATCAGGGTACTGATAGTGTATGATCCTTACCACACGCTGATGGAGGGATTGTTACACACCCGTTATAGAGGGGAGCGTTTCTTTTCTCTTTTTTTTTGTCTTTTTGGGACAGGGTCTCACTATGCAGTTCAGGCTGGCCTGGAGCTCACTTTGCAGCCTAGGCTGGCCTCGAACTTGCAATGACCCTCCTGGCTCAGCTTTCCGAGGGCTGGGAATCACAGGCATGTGCCATCACACCGGGTTTAGAGAAATTTTCTAAGGCTGCACTCACAGGGGTGCAGACCCCAAATGGATCTCACATCATTACTTCAGGCTTGTGGGTTGGGGATGACTTTCCTTTTGATTCCCCAATAGTTGATTATATCATCTTGTTGTTGATTCCATCAGTGGCTTTTAATTTTGTAATGTCACCAAATGGCACAATTTTGCCCTAATTTTGCCTTTAGAAACCTGTTATACTATCTGAAAACCTATGTCAAGAGTCTAGACTTAAGTGGTATAATCTTCAGTTTGTTCATCCATTTAATACATGCTCAACATATAAGCCATTTATCTGTAGAAGACTGAGTTCATTAAGCACTCTATAAACCTTAATTTTCTTTTTCACATTTCTTTGTCCCGCAGAATTGTGGGTGTACATGTGTGCATTTCTCTGTGATGGTTTCTTTTATACTGTGCATATACCAGGCAAAATATGCAGACATGTTTCTTAAACTACAGCCTTTTCCCTCTTAATTCTTTTCACAGGGCTAGACCAACAGAGTCAATGTGAGAAACAGCATCTGAGTCCCTTTAAAATTGTCCTACAACGTCTTCCATTAAAAATTTGTTCCTTAGAGTTACTTGTCTGTATGCAAAATGTACATACTTCCAAAGGCAATGCTTATAGATGAGATCATTTGTTAACAAGTCAGTGTGAATTAATACCTCCATTGCTGAAACTTGAGAGCAAAATATTTTGTGCAGGATAACAGGTTTGGAATTTGGGAATGGGGAATGATACCTTGATAAGCAGAAGTCATTGTTTGGTAAGCGAAGAGTCCACATTGGGAGCCATGTAGGGGCACAGATGACAGAAAGTAATGGTGGGAGAACAGAAATGAACCTGAGTTAATTCACACTGTAGCAGGACCAAAGATTTGGCAGGATCCAGGATTTACTTTGAAACTCATATGGTTGAAGCTGACTGATTCACTGGGTCACTGCGGTGAGTCAGGTCCAGCTGTGATAATGGTATTTGACTCTCCCCCAAACCTGGGCATGTAGTTATTCTTTTCTTTATTTTAAGAAAAGAAAACAGAAGCTCAGAGACATTTATTAACTTCCTAGGGTCACACAGCCTTTAATTTAAGCCTCTCGATCCTTCCTGTATATTTTATTATCTATTCTTGAAGGGCTTTCATGCAGAACCCATGGTCGCAAGTTCTTCAAGAAGGTCCTAGTGGCTCATATGGAAGTTTCTGGAGCAGAAGTCAATGCCAGAGTCATGTGGGACATCTAAGAAGAGAGGTTAAGAGGAGCTGGAACAATGGAGGGCTAAGGGACAGTCTGGGTAATGTGACAGTAGGTGCAGTAGGTGTTCCACAGGAGGAGAGATGGAGCCCTGGAGGTGTGCAGATGTGGAGGATGACAGGGATTGGCCTGGGAAAGACTGGCTGTGATTGCCAAGCAAGCTCGGAGATTGACAGGCCAGATGAGGTTCCCAGAGGGCAGAGGTGGGGGGTGTGAGTGCCCTCCCTGCTTGGAATGCCTCTGTTATTCAGTGCCAGCTTATAGCCCTATAAATTAGGGAGCCTGAGAGACCTGTTTCATTTTAATTGGACTTGGCTCTTTGAGGTAACAGTCACCCAATCTCCCTCTTTAAATATTCTTTTCTTATGCTTTGCCAGTTTATGGCCTTTGTAGATCAATCCTTGGATTCATTTAGGGGAGAGAGAAAGAGAGAGAGAGAAAGCAAAGGTTAGTGATTACCTAAATTGGATTAAGTTCTGTCTAGCAGCATTTAAAGAAATACTGCCTGCTCTCTAATTACCATCCACTAGGAATTTAAACGGACTATTAAATTTAAGCTGACTTTTTTTTTTTTTTTTTAACTGTGATACTTCCAGCTGTAACATATTCTGGAATGTTAGAGGCTTTTATGGTATTCTTCAAATGTGTAGAGGACATTCTCTGCCTGCCACCCCCCCTTAAGATACTATAGTTCTATGGCAGGGTAATATATGATATCATTATATACTGGCTTCATTAAAAAGCAGAAGCTCAGGTCCCAGTTCAGCTGGCTGGCACCCTGTGGAGAGCCCAGCGAACTGAGTTAATTCACAAAGGTTGTGGAGAATGATGGAACTCATCAGCTCCCTTGTTTTGTTTTGTTTTTGACTGTGGCCCAGGGGAAGACCTGGTAAACATGTACCCCCAGCACTGTCTAGCCTATCATAATTATTTGTACAACCAACCCCACATATAGTTCTATGTTACATAAAATTATGTATTTATTTATGGTCTGTCTCCCTGGGCTTTTATTCTTTGTCCTTTTCTCAATTTTTTTTTTTTTTAAATCCCTTTGAGACAGGGTCTCGCTATGCAGTTCAGGCTGGCCTTGAGCTCACTTTGTAGACCAGGCTGGTCTCGAATTCACAGCGATCCTCCTGCCTCAGCCTCCCATGTTCTGGGATTACAGGAGTGTGTTACCATGCATGGCTCCATTTGTCAATTTTGAAGTGTAAAAGAAACAAGGAAAGTGAGACCACAGCTTAGAGGAGACATATTAGCCGCCCACATCAGTCTTCAAGTTTGTTTTTCTTGGCTGTCACACAACACCAGCACCCCCAGTTTTTCTCGTCTTCCTTTCCTTTACCTCTGGAGAACTTTCCCTAGGTTTGCTCCTCCTTTGTGATCCTGAGTTCTGTGTTTTGTTGAGGGCATCTCTGTAAAGGCTTTTGAGTTCCTTGCAAATTAGAAAATTAAGGGGGCTTTTTCAGGTTCCTTCCGTCGTTTACGGAGCGGAGTACATGTCAGCTTAAGTGGAAGCTGGGAGAATAGCTGAAAGAAATTGCTTCTCTCTTTTTCCCACAGACTGAAAGCAAGACATCCGCCATTAGTTCTGATGTGTGCCTGGGTTAGTCTGAACTAAGCTGCTTCAGACCCCGTCACAACCTG